GATTTAATCATTTTTCCTTAATTTGGTCTTCCTTCCTTTTATTCTTCCCCGCAGAATAGGAGGCAGCTCCAGTGGTATCTTTAGCTTGTTGTAATGGAATATACGGGTGATATAGTTTGAAATAATTTCATCCAATGATTTCAATATCACTGGCCACCACACCCAATTTTGCACCCTGGCACAACACTTTACAATAGCCAAGTGACCCCTGTGTTGCCTCTGAAGAATGTTGAATGAAATGACCGATCTTTCATTTTAGATCTGCAAGATTCCCACGATATTGAAATATATTTGTTGCTCAAAGTATTATTGAGAATGGGATTCTCCCTTAAGAGTGGGGTCCTGCAGCAGAGGAATTGGGAGCAGAGTTGCCTGGGACTTAAAGTGGTGGAGAACAGTGAGGCCAGGGACAGGGATATTGGCAAAAGGGACATGTGAGCCAGGGGCCTAAGACCTGGTGCTAAGAACTAAGATGTGGGAAAATAGATGATGAATGGTGCATTAAGTGGGGATCGGACATAAATGACTGAAAGCAGGGGCCCTTGGGTACAGGGTCTTGGAGCAGCGTACCAGGAAGCAGAAGCCTGGGACATTGGGCCAAGAGCTGGGTAACAGGACCCAAAAGTCAGCAACTTAAAGTTAGAGGCCCTGCCCTGGTGGAGGGTTATCAGGAGCCAGGTGTCTGGGACAGAAACTTGGGGGACCAGAAGACATCTGCAGAAATACTTGAGGTAATTAATTTCTTACAAATGAATGTGGAATGCCCAGCTTAATGCTGCATATATTTAGGAGCTATTATACAGTGAATGCTACTGCAATGACCATTGTGTCAACTATTAAATTTAATTCTAGATTGAGATGTAAGATGTAATAAAATGCAAAGCATCTGCATTCTTAACTTATTCTAGTTTTGTGAATATACATTAGAAGTGACCTCACCAATTTGAAAGTGTTTAAATTAATCTCATTTCGTGTGTAGGTGTAGGTGATAATTATTTTGAAAGAAACATTAGTTGCTAACTTGCAACTGTCATCTTGTGCCATTTTAAATATTGTGGTGTCCAGGAAATTAGCACTTCAATTGTGTGTTATGATCGTAAATTTATCGGAACGTTGATGATTATTGATGATATTCTTCTAATTCTGCTTCTGTGAGTCTAAATGTCCCATATTCCACACAAGCACAGAAAATAATGTTTCAACATAGTTTCATCACATAATACAGAAGTTAGTAAAAAGGAAAAAGTAGCCCATGAAAATCAAAAAGTAGCTCCCAAAAATTCAAAAAGCAGTCTTCAGGGGGAACCTTGGGAGTAAAGAAAAGGTCTTGTTCAGACCACAATGCATTTCAATCGTATGGCAGACAATAAAATGCAATTTTAATAATAATAGCGGAGTACTGCATCTTAGGCCACATTTGGATTGCCACGTTTATCCAAACATGTGCCCTTGCGTGAAATAGTAACATTTATGCGTAATTAATGCAGTATACCTAATCTCACTATTACTTTGACAGCAGCTTATGACCCAATTACTTTGGAGGTAAATACTCTGACTTTCTTTAGATTGTATCTCTCTTTATGAAGTATTTCTGGATATTGTTATTTCAAATAAATATTGAAAACAAATGTGCTATTTCTTTGAGTAAACCAATAATCCAAACCATCACTTTGTGAAGTATAATTGCTGATGGATGTTGTCTTTACTTTCTGATATCCCTGTTTCCTTAATACATTTTATGGAAGATAGATTGCTTGTAGCTTTACAGGAAAGAAAACTATTTTTATTCTTGCTTAATTTAAATTTTAATGCATTGTTTCATTTAAATTATAAAATTATACATTAATTATAAACCTTAAGAGTGATCCATGATTACATCATAGCTATTATACATGCCATATATATTAGATATTAGTGACAAAGCATTTCCAGAACATATTCTAACATTTCCCTGCCAAAAATTGGCATATAGCTGCAGGAGTAAAAGCTGATAAAAGAAATAGAACAAGAAAAGGTGTTTCTGTTTAATAGATTTGCAAAGTCCACAAATCTGCCTCAATTTTTTATAAATAGTGCCATAGCCCATGAATTATAACACAGGGAAGGCAAATTGTGCACCATCACCATTGACAATGGCATTCTGCAGAGATGTAGATTAAAGTCAGCAAATTGACCTGAGGTGGATAGATATTCTATTTAAAGCATCAGGCAACATCAAGCATCTGGTTAAGTCAAAATTCTAATTAACAAAAGAGTATCTATATTGGGTCATTTCAGTTCAAATTAAATCTGGAATGTGTTGTTAAGCCCATAATATAAGTGCATGCAAGAATTTTACCCAGAAATTTTCCAGTCTTTGCTCCCCCAAAAGTTAATCTAAAGAAGCGAAATACTTCTGTAGAAACAAATTACTGCTACCTGAGTTTGAACATAAACAGTTCAGAATACATATAAATGTTTTAGATCCTTTTGCATTAAAACGCACTTATAATAAAATGATTTTTTTATTACATTTGTTTAAAGCTACTTTCAATTCTCCTGTGGTTATCAAATTTGAAAGTTCTAAGTTTGTTAACAGGTTCCAAAGCCATCATCATGTGACTGTGTTTTGAAGAACATAACTCTTTGGTTAAAATCGAATCAGAGATAGTAGGAACTGCAGATGCTGGAGAATCCGAGACAACAAGGTGCAGGGCTGGATGAACACAGCAGGCCAAGCAGCATCATAGGAGCAGAGAGGCTGACGTTCACCTGCACATCTGCCAATGTGGTATACTGCATCCGCTGTACCC